TTTGCGATGGAGTACAGGACTGGACGAGGACCGGCAAAGCTACGCTTTCATTACGTTGTGAGTAACTTACACTTTTCTTGCAAGTGTTTCTTCTTCCCTGCTTGGTTGTTCTTGACCACTGCTTTACTTCGCTAGTGGCGTGTTTTTCTTCCTCTTTTTTCTTTTTTTTTTTTTTCTTCCAGAGTTCTTTAGCTGTGACTGTGGGGCACGCTTGAAAAGTCTGTGATCAGAGAGTGTGCACGAGTCTGTGTGATTGGTGGGGGAGAGGAAATTCTCTTTTTAAGTGGAATTTTTACTGTGCGAGATTGGACTCGTAGAGAAGTTGGCTGCGTCGCTCGCGATCGCTCGCAGGGATAGAGATTCTTGGTTCCTTTTTTTTTCTTCCCAGCTTTTTCACGGCATTGGAGGGGGTGGAATGATTTGTCACGTCAATGTATGATCGAGCAGTGAGTGTGTGTGAGAGAGAGAGAGAGAGAGCGAGGAGTGCGGGTCTTGTCAAGTATTCCATCCGGATGATTTGTAGGGACAAATTGCTTGCATGTCAGGATCTGGAAAGCGGCCTACGTGCCTTGATAGCAAAGTGGAAATCTTTGGTGACGTTTGTTGTTTCTGGCTTTCATCGCAGGCAAATCAAACACTGGCTTCTATTCGGAATGTGTTGGGTGCCATCAAAGGATACGAAGAGCCGGACAGGTACACAAAGTAGTTGATTCACCTTCTTTTTGTTGGTGTCTTTCTTTTCTGCTCCTTGGGCTGCGAGGGAGTAGTGTGTGTTGTACTGAACTTTTCTTGTAAAGGGATTCATGTGATTGAGCATTTTGGATCATATCCTTGTGGCCATTCTCGCTTACACGTCACTGACCCGTGCGTGTGTGTGTGCTTGTGTGTTTTGGCCAGGTTTATCTTACTGGGAAACCATCGCGACGCATGGACCTTTGGAGCTGTGGATCCAAACAGCGGCACCGCAGCATTGCTCGAGGTAATCCTTTTTTCTTTTCCAGCATATTGCTTTTAAGCTGACTTTGCTGGTTGTAGATAGCTTCCAGGCTTGGAAGGCTTGTGAGAGCCGGGTGGAAACCACGCCGGACGATTGTTCTGGCGAGCTGGGACGCAGAAGAGTTTGGCTCCGTAAGTTACAATCAACATCTCCATCTAGACATCGCTTTCGAACGCGTCGCATTGATAACGTACTGTCCCCTGTACTCTTCCAGGTTGGATCGACTGAATGGGTGGAAGAGAACTTGGACCTTCTCGGAGCAAGAGCAGTCGCGTACCTCAACGTCGACTGCGCTGTGAGCGGTCCCGGTTTCTTCGCTGGAGCAACGCCACAGCTCGATGATCTGCTGGTGGACGTGACAAAAGAGGTGGCTAAGCTAATGCCGGCTAAAAGCTAAGCTTGTATCTAACTCGGGATTCGTGTGTTTCTTGACACAACAGGTGGGGGACCCTGACACGGGGCGTGGCTCTGTTTATGATTCTTGGGCCTCTAGAAGCCCAATTGGAGGAGGAGGAAAATCCTCTCCTACGGTACGTGAAATTTTGTGGAATAGTCTGTGCAAATGGCGATGAGATGTAACATCTTTTTCCGCAGGTTGACAGGCTGGGAGGCACAGACTCTGACTTCGTTGCGTTCCTTCAGCGCGCTGGTGTTCCAGCTGTTGACATGTACTTTGGGAAATGTATGAACTCTCTCAGGTTATCTTTTTCGTGAGATCGATGCAAAAGTTTTCTGTCTCCTAAAGTGCTTACGCTCGCGCTTTCGCTTGTCTCTCTCTGTGTGTGTGTGCAGCTTATCCAGTGTATCATTCGCTGTATGACAACTACGACTGGATGAAGCGATATGGAGACCCGTTGTTCCATCGGCATGTAGCCGGTGAGCTGTGATTATATTTAACTCTCTCTTGCGAAAGCGTTCCTATATTATTGCAAGCTTTGCAGTTTCGTCGATATGGGGATTGATGGCTCTACGCCTCGCGGATTGTCTCGTTCTGCCATTTAACTATGGCTCTTATGCAACGCAGGCACAGGTTCTTTAAGACTCTTTTTGTTGCTTGCTGGCTAGCGCAATCGATGTGACCCGTTTGTGCCATTCTGGCTGGATCCATGCAATGCAGGTGTATGGAAACGCGGTGGAAGATGCACTGCGAGCAGCCAAAGCACCGCACAACGTAACAGCGTCGCCGCTGCGTACGTCGCTGGCGAGTTTTGTCGAGGGGGCCAAGCAAGCCGGTCACGACTCCAAGGTTTTTCTAGTCACGCTCCACACTTAGTTTAAAATCTCACTGATTTCTCTGTTGGTTGGTTTTGTGAAGAAACTGGAGAGAGAGATATCCTTGTTGCTTCCGAGGAGAACATTAAACGACAGGTTGATGCTGGCCGAGCGTGCTTTTCTGGAGGAAGGTGGCATTCCCGGAAGAACATGGCACAAGCACTTGGTAAGCTTTTAGTCTTCTTAATCAAGCGATCCAACTGTTTTGGTTTCCAGATTTACGGACCATCCAAAAACAATGGCTATCAGTCAGAAGCCTTCCCCGCTGTGCTCGATGCGATTGTAGAGGCCTCTGGCTCGACAAATCCAGACAAGTGGGATGCGGTCCAGCATCAAATATGGAGGGTGTCCAGGGTTTTAGAGCGCGCTACGCTAGTTTTGCGTGGAGAGTTAACATAAGAAAGGGACCAAACAACACTGTAAATCTTTCGCTCATCTCATCAATGTAGAAAGCTCGCTCGAGAGTCTCTGGTGGTTTATTAATGTCGAAAGCAAAAGGTCACATGGTATGGAAGAAAAAAAGATCTGAGGCTTTGTTAAGCGGCTCTGAGTCGAGAGTTCCTGGAAAGAGATTCATACTTTTACGTGACATGAAGATAGCTAAACCAAAATGAATGCACTCACCCTCTCAAAGCCATGGCGAGTTTGCCAGTGGCATGACCACGGACTTGGTCTGGAGATATGGCAGGAGCCCCTCGTATCCATTCTCCCGGCCGATTCCGCTCATCTTGTAGCCTCCGAATGGGATTCCCGGTCCAGCACTGAAGTACGAGTTGACGAAGACAATCCCCGACTTGATCGACCTCGACAGGAAGTTCACCGTGTCGATGTCCTTCGCGAAGATTGCAGCTGCCAGACCATAGCTCGTGCTGTTGGCGAGCTTGACAGCCTCGTCCAGGGTCCTAAAGGAATGACGAAGAAAGTAGAATGAACAAAAAAGAACTCACAAGTAGGGACTTACTTGAACTTGAGCACAGAGAGGACAGGGCCGAAGATTTCCTCTTTCGCTATCGTCATTGATTGCTGTAAAAAGGAAGAGACAAGTCAGGAGTCAGTCAAGGAGGTTGAAACAATCACGAGAAAGATATTACCGTAACGTCAGCAAAAATGGTCGGCTCGATGTAAAATCCCTTGTCACCAATACGCTTTCCTCCAGTCACGAGACGAGCTCCTTCAGCGTGAGCGCTTTCGATGTAGCTCAAGATCTTGTCAGCCTGAGCTTGGTTGATCTGCAACACATACGAGCACATACGTGAGGCGGTGTAGAACCATCATCACAAAGATAAAACACACCTGGGGGCCATGCTCGACTTCGATCTTCAACGGATCACCAATAACTCGCCGCTTGGCCATCGCCACTGCCTTTTCAATGAAGGCATCGTACACGCTCTCGTGGACGAACACTCTGGACCCCGCGAGACAAACTTGTCCCTGAAAAGCGTAAACAATGAGTCATGTAATGTCAGTTGCGAGTTCTTACCTGGTGGAAGAATATGGCCAGATGTGAAAAGAAGGCAGCAACCTCCAGGTTTGCGTCCTCGCAGATGATGAAGGGTGACTTCCCACCCAGCTCCAGCGTAACCTGCTTCAGGTTGCTGCTTGCAGCATCATTCATCACAAGCCTTCCGACGTTGGTCGATCCGGTAAAGGTCAACTGCAAAAGATTGTTGTATGAGATCCTGGAAAACAGCCAAGGAAAACTACTTTCTATGTACCTTATCGATGTCCATGTGTCGTGCAATCGCGGCTCCCGCTGTGGGACCGAATCCTGGAACGATATTCAGCACGCCGGCTGGTACTCCAGCCTAGAAAACAGGACCAAACTCAAAGTTAAAACAGGGCCTCCCAGAATACCATCTTTTCCTTACCTCGAGCGCAAGTTTCGCAATCCACAGTGCAGTGAGAGGTGCTTGTTCCGAAGGTTTCACAACCATGGTGTTGCCGCAGACGAGAGCTGGAGCGATTTTGCACACGAGAAGATAAACTGGGAAGTTCCAGGGAACGATAGCTCCCACAACGCCGACCGGCTCGTACAACGTGTAGGCGTGCACATCCCCGTCACCTTTGAGAGTCTTTCCCGCGATCTTATCGGCCCAGCCTACAAGGAACTATCAGGACTCGCCAAGAACTGGAAGGACGGAGAGACGAGACCTCCGTAGTATCGTATAACGTCGATGGCTGCATTCGTCATGAACATGGTCGCTTGTAGCGGCATCCCGTTGTTGAGGGTTTCCAAGGTGGAAAGATCCATGATCTTGGCCTCCATCAAGTCAGCAAGCTTGGCCAGGATCTTGCCCCTCTTCTGCAAAGCAAAAAAGAAAAAGACCACGAAAGGAATCAGCTTTCTCTCATCCAGAAATGCTACTTACAGCTCCGGCCAGACGAGGCCATGGACCCTCCTCGAAAGCCTTGCGAGCGGCTTGGACGGCGAGATCCACGTCCCGTTCATCGCCTTCAGCAACATCTGCGATCGTTTCTCCAGTACTCGGGTCAAAAGCCGCGAATTTCTTCCCTGAAATTGTGAAGATGTAGGATCCAAGAAGAAGAAACGCAAGGAAACACGAAAAGCTCCAAACCTGACGCCGAATCCACGAACTGGCCGTCGATGAAGAGCTGCTTGTGCTCGATCGTCTCCTTGAGCTTATCCCGGCTCAAAAACTCCATCGCTCCTTCCTCTCTAAAAAAAGCTTACCCTACGCCAACTTAAATAGCTAGACCGTCGATATGTATGTGTATGTATGTTAAAGCGCGTTATAATAACCAAATATCTTTGCAATGATTCAAACGCGATGCTCAAGCCTGTCACTTCGCGAAAGCAATGACGCCGCCGCCGTGGAGGCCGTGGAAACGATCCCTGCAAAGCTTCCAGGCTTGGACAAATTTACAAGCCTGGCTAAGTTTGTCAGCGATGACAAAACAAAGAAAAGGAAAAGGAAACGAAGAAACGAAAGCTTACGGGGAGAGGTGCTCGGCAAAGGAGGAGATTGCCGGGACAACATCGCTAAAGTTGTCAGCGGTAGCGGGAGCCGTAACCTCGACGAGCTGGATGTTTGGAGTGACGGGTGTCGCTTCGTCGATCGAGTGCTGCTTGGGAAGCCTACACACTGAAGTTACCGTGACCGTGATCGGGAAGGCTCTCTGGAAGCGGTACGCAAAACCATCGCGGAGAAGCTCGTAGTCCATCTTGTAGCCAACGGCGTAGAAGAAACGAAGCGCATTGTTGCTCATCTTGGACTCCACAATGTTGCGTACCAAGGCGGGCAGCTGCTCGGCACCAGTGCCTCTCATTGCTCCTCCTATGTGCTTCACAGTCCTCGAGGAAGGAAGAAAACAAAGAAACTGAGAATGAGTAACTTCTACTTCTTACTTCTTGCGAGGAGAAGAAACAACATACCAAATGTGAGGTCGCTTGGAGAGATCACACAGTAGATGGAGCTCCGAAGCCACGGTGCCTGTTTCAAGAGATTCCAAAGCTCTAGAATCCGCGAAAGAGGAAATCGGCTTACTCTTGAGGCATATTTCGTGGGTTTTGACAGCCTCGCGCTGTCCCTCGCACAGGCCTTGCAGCAGCACATCCAGAGCTTCTACGTGCTGCGGCGATTGTCAATCGATCGATTGCTTGATTGGAATCGAAGAACAAACCTGAGCCTCGATGATCCCTTGCACAACGCATTCCATTTTTCCCTCCCTCGGGCCCAGAAACCCTAAACCTTTGATTTTAGGGCACCAATTCCCCCATTTACCTTTGGTTTTGGCGCCCAAAAAGAAAATAGTTTAGGGCAAAAGAAGCGCTCTGTTTTTAGGGTTCTTGAGCAATGGAGCTCAAGGAGATTGGCGCCTTGAGGCGTTCGTCGTGTGTTCTAGGTCTAGGCTTCGCGACACAGCGGCTGCCGGTGGTGCGATGCGGCAGGAAGAATGCGCACGGTCCGGCCAGGAAGCAGCTCCACAAGCAGTGGGATCGGCAGCGGCGGGGCGATTCCAAGCAAGTGTCTCGCCAGTGGAATCAGCAGGTGCGTGATGTAACGACATTGCCCGATGTGAAGCGATTCGACAGTCTTTCAACTGAGGATCGAGCAGTCGGGCAGGTAACATCGGCGCAGGCGAATTTCATGACTGTCGTGGTGGAACGAGCTGGAGCGCTCGACGATGGCTTGCGAGAAGAGGGCTTTAGAGCGGGGATTAAGCTTCTTTGCGTGGTGAGAGCACTTCTCAAGAAGATCAGGAGAAGAGTCATGGTCGGTGATAGTGTTTTAGTCTCTGGAATAGATTGGACAGACAAACGCGGGATGATTGAAGATGTTTTACAGAGACGATCCGAGACTTCGGATCCACCAGTGGCTAATGTTGATTTGTTACTGGTGCTGTTCTCACTCGATAGGCCGCGCTTGGATCCTGTGATACTGAATAGGTTCTTAGTCGAAGCCGAGTCGACTGGAATACCTCTAGCAGTGGTGCTCAACAAGGCGGATCTTGTTACTCAGGAGGTACCCGTTTTATTTCTTTCTTTTCGCTTCTGCAAAGCTGATAGAAGGATCATTTTTAGTTTTCAGATGAAAGATAGCTGGGAGAAGCGGCTGACGGAGTGGGGATATAAACCATACATATGCAGTGTAGAGACTGGTATGGGGCTTCATGACATGGCTCCTCTCCTCGAAGATAAAACATCAGTCGTTTTTGGCCCAAGTGGAGTCGGAAAATCGAGCTTGATCAATTTTCTACGCGGAAGGTCTTGCCTTCCACCAGATGACATCCAGGTCTGTATACCTTCGAAGTTCGTCTGATGCTAACTGCAATTGTCGCGTGTACAGGCACTAGACGAAGTTGACGATGAAGTCATTCGCGTAAATGAGGTGTCGTATCGAACTGGATCCGGACGACACACGACGCGGCACGTTTCTCTCTTGCATCTGCCATTTAGAGGGGCTATGCTCGCTGATACTCCAGGTTTCAGCTATCCCAACTTGTCAATGGTGACGAGTAACTCATTAGCATCGCTTTTCCCCGAGGTATTTTTGTTCAGCTTCTTCTTATCGTGATGCAAAAGTTTTTGTAGGTGCGGGCGCGCCTGGAGAAGAGCGAGTTTAGCTGCGGATTTGCAGATTGCCAGCATATATCGGAACCGGATTGTGTAGTGGGTGGTGACTGGGAAAGATATCCATATTACGTTTCATTGTGGAATGAAGTTCACAAACGAGAAGAACACGAGAAAGCGGTCTTTGGCACAAAGCAAGAAAATGACATGAGGTAAATTTGTTTTCGATGGTTCTCGTTATGTTGAACTCTGGAATTTGGCTGGTTGCAGGTTCAAGGTAAGAGAATCCGGAGTTAAGCAGGCCGAACCAATGCTTGAGCTAAAGAAACATCGAAGAACGTCTCGCAGACAAGTTCGGCAAATGGTTGATAGTGATGTTCGGGAGCAAAGAGACGAACAGAGGGAGCTCGATGAGCTGGAGAATGCAGATGCTGCCGTCTAGACGGTAGCTTATCTTTGGACCATGTCCTACAGTGCTCCGGCTTATGGATGTCAGTTTCCAGGGAATTCTATACGATTAAAATCCGTCCTGGTCTTTTGGCGCTACCTCAAAGCATATAGTTGTGAGTGGATTATTCTTTTTCCTTTCCACAGCTTTTTGTCACATGCGACTTTTCAGATTCGCCATCTTTTTAAGTTCTTTCTCAAGGCACCTATGATATTACTAGAAGTGGAGTAGTAACGTGCTTGGTTACCGGTTCCAGCTCGTTGTTGTGTCGCATAGCTTTCGGCACGGGAACGGGGAGGTGGTGGTGGCCATTTCAGGATACTTCCTGTGCAGTTTTGGAAGGCCGATGCTTGATGCGGTTCTAGAGCGAGGCAGACATCGAGGCCTTGCTTGCTGGGAAGGAAAATAACGCAGTTGTTGCCTCTCTCGCCGGGGATGAAGAGTGTGTGGCTGGGAGGTCCCCAGCCGAAGTCGACTTTGTGGAAGGAAAAATTCGCCCAGGACGAAAGGTAGATGCCACTGTTAACAGCCGGGACAGCGTGATTCAGCTCCAGCCAGTCGATTGCAGACCTCACGTAGTCGTCCGTAACTCTGGCTTTGGCAACTTGGACTTCCTTGACACAGGCCGAGAACGGTTTCTCAGCTAGATCTCGAGGTGGCATTCTGGCACAGGCTAAGCTGAGGGTGTTGCCAGTGAATCCTACCGGAAGAGATGGAGTCAGTACCTTTCGGCTGTCGACAACAAAGACCAAGTTGGAAGTTTGATCAGCATCCATGCTTAGAGCCTGGGTTCGGGCTTGCCAGACTTTGGTGGCGAGCGCTTCGAATGTTGTGCACCTGGACAGCAAACCGTCTGCTAGAGCTTGGGCCTTCAGAGAATTCAGCACTTCGGTGGGAAAATTGAAGGTTTTCCACAGTCCAAAGTGTGCTCCAAAGTTACCATTCAGCTTCAGTTGAGACAGTGAATTGGGAGTCGTGAAGTAGCTGTCCTGGGGTACTTGGTCAACTTTCATATACTCGAAGTGCTCGTAGCTGGGATTGGGTAAATCTCTGGCTTTGAGCAACCTCCTATCCGCTACCGGCTTCACTGGGAACTCTTGTCCTCTTGCAGCAGCGGTTAAGTTTGCAAGGAAGTCGTCCCCCGAAGCTCCGCCAACGAGAGCGTGGTTTCTCGAAATGCCAACGACAAAGCCTCCGCATTTGAACTTGGTCACCTGAGGAAGCAGTATTTGATGAGCTCAAGAAGCTTAGTATGCAAGAGAAAGCAGGCACCTGGAGTGTGAGAAGCGGGGCATCGGAAACTTGGTGCGAGGCGGGCGAGTGAAGAATGAAATCTTTGAGAAGACCGACCAAAGTCGGACCGTCTTGAAGATCTGCGAGTGTGACATTGGTGGTGGCTGCGACGAAAAGTGCTCCTGCTCGGTTGCAATCCACCTCGACACGTTTCTCCCGGGCGTTCATTCTCAGCCTTCCAGCCATGAAGTGGTATGGGACCAGAACTTTGCTCAGTGCGGCTCGTAGCACGTCGACAACATTCTCAGCGCTCCTGTGCGGTGACGGGGGATAGAAGTACACAGACTCGAGGTTAAACAGGACTTGCTGATCGTAATTGGAGAGGTAGAGCGGCTGATCGTCAGTGGCTTGAGCAGGAGCAACCAGGCAAAGCTCTTCGACGTTAATTTCGGACTTCTGGAGTGCTGCTGTCGCCTGTAGAGCCATACCTCTGAACTCTGAGACGCTGAGCTCCTTGAGGAGGTGGGAATGAGGCAAAGGAAGCAGCACAGAGAAGCGTTTCCTTGCAGTGTGGACGATGGCTATTAAGACAATCAAAACGCACACTGCCAGGTATGGATGTGTTTAGATTCTTTTGATCGCGTTTTTGCAGCTCGCAACTTCGAAACTACAGCTTTTAAAAGCCAGGGAAAAGTCTTTTGCTGCAACTCTAAAACTTGGTGCTCCTTTAAGACCGAGTGACAAATTTTACATGGGCCCTCTGAGTGATACTGCGTTCCAAGACATGGCTACGACTCTATAGCCTCGAGGTTGGTGCAATCTTGTAGTTTCCTTCTTGTTATGATCCTTGTGGCAGTTCTCCGTTGGTGCGAACAAAAGCAATTGAGCAAAAGCGATTAAATGCGAATGGATGAATGATTGAAGATTTATCTGGTGAAAGAATTTTCCGCACGGATCGTGCTTCCAGCGTTATTTTATCTCAGCCTGTGGAGCAAGCAAGCAAGCAAGCAGTTACATCCTTTGCTCTAGAGGAACGCTGCTTCTCGGTGCCGGGGAACTTTAAGATGGTAAGACACCCACTCTGTTTCGTTGTTGCTCGCTGATAACAAATTCTACCACCAGTTGGACGAGACGACCTGCGATGAAAACTCAGATGAGCCATGAAAAAAAACGAGTGAGAATGAGCAACGAACCTTTTCAAATCAACGAGGGAGTTGAGGCCCGATAATGGCTTTTTTGGGAGGCTTGGACGGCGTAGGAGGAGGAGGCTCTTGTTGTGACGACAAGGCGCGGGTAGCTTCGGCCCTCCATTCGGCTTGACGCTGGGCTTCAGCAGTCGGCAAGCCCAGCTTCCATGCAACCATCACAAACGACATGTATTAATCCTAAACGCATCTCTCCAATCTCGACACTTTTTTTTTTGGCAGCGCAAAGACGAGAGAAGAGGGAAGTCAAGGCGCTCACCGCAACCCGGAAGGCATCCATGCGAGCACTCTCCTCCTCTTCAATCTGTGCCAGCTTCTTACCCGCGGCTACACTTCGTTCTAGTTTCTGGAAATGAGAAGAGTTCCGCGTAAGATTTTGGTTTGTTTTGCAACACAATGCGTACTTACCTTTTTCTCAAGTCTCAGTTTTTTCCGGGCTCTGGAGACAATTGAAAAAATCAAGAGCAAGCACTGAAAGGTTTTTCTTCCGTGAAGTTACCTCCAGTCGATTGCTCCGTACATATCTTGCATTTTGGCTTGCTGGGCTTGAACTTCTCGCAGCTCTCCATTCAGCCTGGCCTGCTCACATTATTCGTCAGTGGCTATGTAAAGTTTGTCCTTGCAAAAGAAATAAAAGTTTACTTTGATTTACCTTTGCGAGCTGAGCGTTTTGATAGATGAGATTTTTCTCTTGCTCTCGTGCCTCCATCGTGACCTTTGCATCGAAAATGAAAAGAAGAGGAAACCATTTACACCTTCGCTACGAAACGCAAGATCAAATTACCTGGAGCTTGGCTTGCGTAGCTGCCTTGTTTGATCCGTGCTCCTCGTCATCCTCCGTCTCGTGATGCTGCTGCTTGCGAGATTTCTTCGGCCTCCTCGGCTCATGCCTCTCTTTCCTCCTCTTCTTCTCGCCGCTACTCTTTTCTCTGTGAGCTCGGTGGTGCTCTCGTTTTTGCCTTCGTTTACGTCGCTGCTTTTTCCTCTCCCTCTTCCTGTCACAGCAGCATTTGCAATGGGATAGAACAATAACACACACCACTCGAGCAAAAACAAAAGCTCTAGACACTTGCCTGGCTTCGTCGTCGGAAGAGGAGTAATCCGTCTCACTCTCACTCACACGCTTCTCTCGTCGCCTCTTTTTTCGTCTCCTCGCATCGGGGCTGGAGTAACCCGAGGAAACGAAAGACTTTGAGGTGTCTGTGGATAAGCTACTATCACTAGAACTCTCCTCTCCTTGTTTCCTCCTATGCCCCATTGTCTTCCTAAATTCTATCCTCTGCTACGAGCACACAAAAAAAGAATTTTTCCTCCAACAATGCAAGCAGTCAGTTATCTAGTGCTGCTAGCACAACTGCCTTACGTATTAAACCAAACTATAGCTAGGTCAAAACCATCCCTCTAACGAAATCGATCAATCAATCGAAAATCCAGGGAAAAACTGCTGGAAAGCTTGCCAGGATTCGAGGCGCCAGCCAGAATCCTGGCGGGCGCATCCAAAATCTCACACACTTACGACGAGGAATCGCGGCGCCTCCATCCCCGTCGGGAACCCTTGGCGCAAGACGAAACGCCATATCATTTTGATTTTTAGGGTTCTATCTCATCGATCATCGAAATATTCTGGCGATTCGATCGATTCGATCATCGAGGAACTCGCGCACAGTGCTGCCAGGAATCGGAAAGAAGCTTCCATTGGTGTTGGAACTTGGAAGATTTCCTGGTGGTTGAGCGACCGGAGAATCAAATCAAAATGGTGTGCGTGTTTTTTGTTTCTTTTCTTCCTTGTTGTGTCCTTGCGAGATTAAAAAAATTCCAGGCAAGCATCGGTTCTCCCGGATGCCGCATCTCGACAGTCGCGATCTCCGCCCAATTTTACCACGAACAGGGGCAAGGGTTTAAGCGGACTGCCTAAAAAAATTTGTGTGGTTTAGAGGCGATCTCACATTCGCATGTAAAGAGGCCCCGGATTCTTCCCAGCCATCGCTCGCAGCGCTTCCTCTCTTTCGCTCGATCCATGGCTGCCGCTGCCGCTGCCGCTCCAATGGCCGTGCGCGCCATGGAATCCATGGCCGCTTCTTCTTGCTGCTCGGAATCTTACAGTGCCAGGGTTTCGCATGGCCGCCGCGCTGGATTCTGTGGCCTCCGCAAGGAGATCGCGAGCCTCCGGGCTTCCGATCCATGGATCCAGAGCTTGCAAGCGAGGAGGTCGAGATCCGGGGCCAGGCGATCCATGGCTGCTCGCGCCTCGTCGTCCAATGGAGGGCCGCAGCCTTTCGATTACGATGTGATCATCATCGGGGCTGGCGTTGGCGGCCATGGCGCTGCTCTTCACGCTGTAGAGCAAGTAAGTTCCTTCTTTTCTTCGCGTCTAGCCTCGGAGAGAAGTGAATTGCGAGAGATCTCTTTCTCTTCGTCCAGGGGCTCAAGACCGCCATCATCGAAGCAGACATTGTTGGAGGGACTTGTGTGAATCGAGGATGCGTTCCTTCCAAAGCGCTCCTGGCCGTGAGTGGACGCATGCGTGAGCTCCAGAACGAACACCACCTCAAAGCTCTTGGGATTCAAGTAAGTTCTAGCTGGTGTTGGATCGAGTTCTAGGAAGCTCTACGTGAATTTCTTCTTTCGCTTTTTTCCGTAGGTTGCTGCGGCGGGCTATGACAGACAAGCCGTCGCTGATCACGCAAACAATCTCGCTACCAGAATCCGTGCAAACCTCACGAATTCTATGAAGGCTCTGGGAGTGGACATCTTGACTGGTGTTGGCAGCGTTGTGGTCAGTATCTCTGTGTTCTTGTCTCGTAAGTGTCTTCTCACAATGCTTGTGTTTCTACAGGCACCTCAAAAAGTGAGGTATGGCAAGATCGGCTATGTTGACAAAGTTATCACAGCCAAAGATATCATCATCGCTACCGGATCAGTTCCATTTGTTCCACCGGGGATTGAAATAGATGGTGAGCTTTTCACTCCTTTTTAAGATCGATCACTAAACGAATTTATTACTTGACTACACTCAGGCAAGACCGTTTTCACGAGCGACCACGCTTTGAAGCTCGAATGGATACCAGATTGGATTGCCATTGTCGGAAGTGGCTACATTGGCTTGGAATTCAGTGACGTCTACACTGCCCTCGGAAGCGAGGTTTAGTTTTTCTTCTTTCCTTTTTCTATAGAATACGCGATGTGCAGGTGACTTTTGTTGAAGCTCTGGATCAACTGATGCCAGGCTTTGATCCTGAAATCGGGAAGCTTGCTCAGAGGCTCCTGATCAACCCTCGAAAAATTGATTTCCACACTGGCGTGCTCGCAAAGAAGGTAGCTTTTTTGCATCTTTGCTTGGCATGTGTATGTTCAACTATCTGTATGCAGATAACTCCAGCTAAAGACGGGCGTCCAGTTTTAATAGAACTTGTCGACACGAAGACGAAGGAGCCCAAGGAGACACTTGAGGTAACGGTTCAGCTCTCAAACGACTAATAACTGAGGATTGAGTTTGCTCCAGGTCGATGCAGCAATGATCGCAACGGGCAGGGCACCATTTACAAAAGGATTAGGCCTTGAAAATGTAAGAGAGTACTTTTTTTTCGTGTTTCATCCATTCATCTTGTGCACTGTTTGACAGGTTAATGTTGTAACTCAACGAGGATTTGTTCCTGTCGACGAGCGAATGCAAGTGCTAGATGGGAGAGGCGAACTGGTTGGTTGTTTTCGTTTGACAAGTTACATACATGACTCTTGTCTTGCTTTAGGTACCTCATTTGTACTGCATCGGCGATGCAAATGGCAAACTGATGCTTGCTCACGCTGCCAGTGCTCAGGGCATTTCAGGTAATCTCGAGAGAGACATGTTTTGTGTGATGTGACCGTGATCGTGTCTCTTTTGCAGTTATTGAGAGACTTGCTGGAAACGACAATGTCCTAAACCATTTAAGCATACCAGCCGCTTGCTTCACACATCCAGAGATAAGCATGACTGGGATGACTGAGGTACATACGCATTCTCTCGGAATTCGCCTTTTGTAAGCAGTGTACTTCATGCGTTCCAGCCTCAAGCGAGGGAGAAGGGCAAAGAGCAAGGATTCACGGTGAGCGTGGCGAAGACGAGTTTCAAGGCCAACACAAAGGCGCTGGCCGAGAACGAAGGCGATGGAATGGCCAAGGTAATAAAATAATTCGTCGTAACACGGTTGATTGAATTGATTCCTGCAGCTTATTTATCGCCAAGATACCGGGGAAATCTTGGGAGTTCACATAATTGGCTTACACGCAGCTGATCTCATCCACGAGGCTTCCAACGCCATGGCTTTGGGAACTAGAGTCCAGGTTTGCTATGTGATAATTCCCTCACACACTCTTCTTTTCTTACATGGTTGAATCGTCCAGGAGATCAAGCTTGCCGTCCACGCGCATCCCACCCTCTCGGAAGTTTTGGACGAGTTATTCAAGTCGGCCAAGGTTCGCTGGCTTCAAGTTTTTGTTTAGCGTGTAATCCAATCTTCTTTTTCTATTTACCCAGGTTGGAGAGCATGCAAAGAGGCCCGAGCCAGTGGCCGTCTAGTTTCAGATCCATCCATCTCAAGAAAGTTATCTAGAAATTTTGTAGGAAGTTTATACAATAATATGTTGCAAATCGGTTGCAAGCTTCCCCTCTCTTGAATCCTTTAGATGAGTGTTGTTGAGCTTCGCTCCAGTAGTGTGACTGCTGTGCAGGCTGCTTCTTCACGTAAAATACATCTGTATGTTAACCAACATCACTTGTAATGTATGAGGTATTCCATCAATTCCAGGATCATCCTTTAACAATGCCAAGCCAGGCAAGAGCATTGACAAGATCACATATGCTAGAGGCTGGACTGGATATTGGTGTTGGAGCTCTTGGATATCATAGATATGTGCTCATCTTCTTACCGGTGTGTGACAGTCTTGGGGATCTTGCCATAGGGTGGCACTGTGTCGGATTTCTTTCCCAGATATGCAGGACATAGTGCATGAGGAAGCCATTGTAGAGGTCCACTTTGAACATAAATCTGATCCTTGTCAAGAGGAAATGACATGAGAAGGGCAAAATAATGTGGTAACAGTATTCTTGGATTGATTTGTAGCCCTGGGCAAATAATCTGCCATTATGCAGCTAGCTTGTCAAAGTTGAATTTTTCTTTTCATAGGCATTGACTCCTAGGATTATTTTAGTAATTCATTTATTTTATCTGCATGGTTGTAATAAAACATAATATTTTAAAATGAAAATCAATTACTTTTTGGAATAAAAATTACTTTCCGTTCCACTGGCTTCTGAGAATTTATGAGCATTCTAAGACTAATCCCAGGTGAGTGTTGATCTGACGTTAGCAAGATGCAGGTTGACGTCCAGGTGGCCAGCATCAGCATACCAGCCTCCAACCATGTTTGCTTCAGTGCCGCGGATGTAAACGTTGTAAACTGTGACTGGACCCCCCGGTTCCCCCTTGAATTCAACCCCCTCCCCCTCCAACACGAAATTGATCATATACACAACACATGAATGCACATCTGCGTACCATTTGGCTCGGTTATAGTGTTCGATCAGGTCATCCATGGAACCTTGCCTGAGAATTTCAAAGCCAAACCAGCCTATGTCCCCGTCTTTGGCGAGTATATCCAGCCTCCGCCTCCAATTCTCTTCATGCGTGGCCTCTGGAATGACCTTCCACTTGAGATACGGGTAACCCAGCTCCAGCACCTTCTTCAACTTCACAAAGAACTCAAATTGCAGGCCATACTCTGACGCGTTCCCATCCGCATTGCACGACTCCTCCTGCAGGAAAATATCCAGGTCCAGCAACATTATAGTTCTCTGGATGACCCACAGCCTGTTGAAAGGCAAGGGACCTGTCTTCACTAGAAGATCATTTTCCTCTATGCAAATCTGCTTCAGCAGCAAAGAGTGCAGCAGCTCAGACGAAAAGTGCAGCACAGAGAACCCACCCCTGTCGCTGGAGTCCACCAGGATTCCTTCCGCTACCAAAAAGTTGACCGTTCCGAGTAAATGCGGGTCCTCCCACTGGAGCTCAAGCTTGCCGCCCTTCTGCAGCATGTTGAGCAAGAGTTGCTTCTCGTCTCCTTCCAGTGCGTAGCAGTTCTCCCACATGGCGTTGTACGTTGGCCTTGCAAAAACATTCTCTATCAGGTGCACCTTTTTGAAGTTGCTCCACATCCCCAAGTTCCTGTGCCCAAAGTCTCGCATGCTTTTGTCTCCTGCCAATAGCGCGCAACAAACACCAACGAGCCCCTTTCGCCCCCCTGTGATCCTGAAGATGCTGTTGGATACATCCCTCTCCACCTCCACCTTCTTGTAAGCCACAAACTGCGAGATGAGCTCCCATACTTCCTCCTCTGTGAAGTTCTTAGATGTGTACAAGCTGTCCGTGGAGAAGGGTGAATATACGTTGCCAGAAAATGACGGCTTTATGTCGAGCCAAGTCCTGTACTTGTTCGCGATCATCAGGTCGTCTAGAAGTGAAGCAGTGCCAACGAACAAGAGCGACAACAGGCGACTCCTCCCTAGCTGCTTGAGATGCCGTAGGTTGTTAAGGAAGGAGACCTTGTAAGTGTTCGGGATGCGGGATAGATGGTTGGCCTCGTCAACGACTAGAATGATATCCTTATCGCCACCCGCAAGCAACCTGCGGAGGTAGGCCTCGCTGTCAACGCCAGAAAAGTCTGGTGCGGGAAGCGCGTCACCACTCGACTCGTAGACCCGCTGTGTAAAGAGCTTCCAGAAATCGTCCAGCGAGGACAAGGTGGAAGACTGTGCAGGAAAATCGATGTAAATGCAAGTGAAACCCCTGGACGCGAGAATCTCGATGCTGTAGAAAGCCAAGGACGTCTTTCCTGTCTGCCTGGCACCATATAGAACCACATACTCCCCATTGGACAGCCCATCTATTAGCTCCTGAGCATCCCCATCCGGCGGGATGTAGTAGTTCCTCTCCCTATCAACACCATTACCCTCCGCAAACCTCTTGGTCGCGGCCCAAGCCATCCTCCGCTTCTTGCTGCTGCTTTCCGCCGCCCCTGATCTTCTCAAAGCCGGTTCACTTACAAAAGGATATGGCATCTCCATTAGACTCCGATTTGAAAATGAACCCTAATAAAGCTTGAAAAGGGTGGCAAAATATATTAGGAGAAATTTAAGGTGCTTAAACTGTTCATGCCTGTGTCCGCCACACCTCTTGTTTGTTCTGCACAAGATTGCTTCTGAACACCCATATAAAATTCGCCTTTTGCGAGCTCCTCAAGCATGGATTGCAAACCAGCCAGTGTGCCGAATGCGACGCTGTCGAGCCATTTTTAAGAACTTCGCTGCCGGCTGAGCTCAAATCTGAGGGCAGCAGCGACGAAATGTTTTACCATTTTGTGGATCACTTCCACAGCTCCGCTTCCAGCTTGCTGAATGTGTTCATCAGAATACCTTGCCGTCCAGGATCTCTCCACGTGGAAAACGGGCCCGCAGCTTTGGAAGCCCCTCGAAGCAAGAAACAAACTCATCTGCCGTTTCAGCTGGTATGCACAAACGCGAACTCCGGAAGCAGGAAAAACGTGAATCGTACGTGTCGAGCAATTCCTGAGACTGAAACAAGCACAACAGAAATGTAGCAGATGACGTCCAGAAGGAGGCTTTCGGGATCCCAAACTATGCCACACTCCCTGATAAAATCAGCGTTCAGGCAACAACCATGATCTACAAGCAACCTCTCAAATTCGCCACGAAGCTTGAACATGAGAAGAACTGCGTCCCAGACCCAGTGTTGTTGGCATCTTTCTAGGATTGATTGCGAGCCTGAAAACTTCTGCGGCGTCGTCCATAGTATCGCTTATTGGTGGTAACAAAAGTCACTGCGAGGCCATGCGAGATAAGACGAGCTCCAAGTTGAATATGCCCGATTACAGGCAAGGGGAAGATTACTTCATGATTTTCCATCCTACTCTTCAACTTTCAGCAGCTAGCCGCTCAAGCTCTTGGTTAGACGCTCTCTTTCTTCCTCGGAACCTTACAGACTGAGAAAGATTCCCTTTACCTAAATTAGACTCATCACAGGATGCAAGTAATCCTTCTCGGTTACGGCTTAGTGGATTCATGGTCCGGCACAATCAACGCCACTGCCGGAGACAGTGCGTAGCGATTTAAATTCACAGGTCATAAACTTGGAGGGTCACCGATAAGATCGTCATTGATCCTGGCAGGATTGGAATATACGATTCTTTCAGGCGGTCCCAGGCGGGACAAAGCGGCAAACCTGAGCATCCGTGTAAACTCTCCCTGGCCTACAAAAGTAATAGTTCTCGGGAGCACAGTGAGAGTCGAGCGAGCAAACACACTCGCCCTCGAGAGCACAGTGTGGAAGATTACTACTTCCACCAGAGATTCCAAGCGCAAAATCGGACCACTCGCTCGAGAAGAAACCATCCGGATCAAACTTGCTCTTCACCACCAGGAACTTTTGCAGCTTGGGATATTTGGCAGCCGTGTGAGTCCCAAACGCGATGTTCCTGTTCTTCCCCCAGTGCGGGAGACCTCCATACTTGAACAAAGCCATCTGTTCCACCTCTTCCAGGACGTCCTCGTTCAGCCTGGGAGTGTTTCCACTGCGAGCTCGGTAGTAAGTTATGTCCACATCCACTGCGTCGGTTTGCTTTCCCAGATATGCGGACGAAGCTCGGACGTAGCGCATGAGGAAGCCATTGTAGAGGTCCACTCCACACAGAGCGGCGGGATTTAAAGCTCGAAGTGTCTTGACGTCGGTAATGAAGTCCTGGATCTTGTCCACCGATATGGAGACGGTGGTCTGATGGTAAAACAGGCCTCTCACTGTGGGATCCCATGGACAGACGAGTTGTCGAGAGAGTGAGGCTTGGCAGCCGCCAGAGGACTGGATCTTGTGCTGGAAACCAACGACCGGGTAGCCAATGAAAACTCCACCTGAGCTCTTGAAGCCTTCCCCTGTAGCGAAAAGTGCTTGAGTTTGCACCAATCCAGTGGCACACTTCCCAGTGTGGTCACCTGATATCTCAAAACCTTCCTCTGTAAAGAAAAGAATATTGAGTCGCTACTGTTTGATCAAACAGAAACAGTACGTACCGAGAATTCTTTGAGCTTCAACTGCAGTGGCAAGCGTCGGTTGAAATCCAGTGAAATCGTTCACACCGTCTCCGCTGGTACTCACAGGAACACGGTCGTCTGCTCTGTAGATGACTTTGTACTTCGATGGATACCAGGAGACATCTCCAAACTCGTGGTTCTTCCCAAACTCTAGAATCTCTCTCTCCAGATTTATGTCGGATGCCTCAAACTTTGTCACTGATCTCTTGAATATCGGCTGCAGTGACAAAGTCACCTGTGATATCACCCCCAGAACTCCGAGTGAGACCTTGGCAGCATTCATAAAGTCTTCGTCCTGGTCAGTGATCTTGACAATTTTCGCAAACCCTTCTTGCTCTGTGGCTGGAACGACCATTGTCATCGCTTTCACATACTCGTGGACAGCACTTCCTTTCCCCATCAAGGAACTTCCATGAGACCCTGTGCTTAACAGCCCTCCCAGCGAAATCCCGTTCCAATAAGGCGACGAAGGAAGAGCCAGGCCATGACTTCCGATCTCCTGTAAAAGTCTTGAGAGCTCTACACCACTGTCTGCCGTTACAGTCATGGAGCTCGCGTTTATCACTACCCTGCTGGAGTATTTTGCCGTGCTGATTACAAGGCCAGAAGTCCCTCCAGGACACGCGAACTTGGGAAAGCTGTGAGCTGAATTACTCACAACCTTCATCTTCATCCTGTTCTTCACACCATGTGCGACTATATCAACCAGCTCCTGCTCCGTGGAGGGGAACGCTGCTTCCCCTACCTTGCAAAAGCTCCTATCCGGCCAAGTTCCATATGCGTTGAAAACCATGCACGCCCCCGTCGCAACATCGCAGCGAACTGGAGAAAGGGGAGCTGCAAGCATGGCATTAGTCGCGAGAACCCAAAGGAGCAACGCAGCAGCAAGAGGCAGCATTGGGACAGAAAACTTAGAGCTCAACATCTTCCGAGATTTCAGATCCGTAGAAACTAGCACAGATGACTATAGTTTCAACAAGAAGTATGATCGATATCGAGGAATTAAAAGAAAGACAAAAGAAACATCCCACTTCTATGCAAGCAGTAAATCTGGAAAACAGCTGTAGCACTACAACGACCGAATCCACGAGCAGCGTAAGTTAACAACAACGACAACAAGAAGCAAAAGGCAGAGAAAAGCAAGCAAAGAAGAAAAGAAGTACCTCGGAAGTGGTTGCGTGCTTGTGCTTCGCATGACTGAATAAAAAACTCCCACGGCACTAAAGGTATGAAAGGTCTTGCGAAGGATCTCCACGGAAGAGGAACCGAGGGGCCGAGTACAAGCCGTGGGAGCCGAGCTCCAAGGACCCGCTTGAGCGCAGTACTGGCACTAGTGACTCGCCCCGCGACGCGATCAATGAACCTGGCTCGGACAGAGTTTAAGCAGCGAGAGGGGGGCCAGAAATCAAAGATCAAGCACCTTTGTCACGCTCAATAATGCCGCGATCACGTCATCACCTGAAGAACGCGCCAGTGTACTACCACCACTCACACAGGACCGCAGCAGAGAAAGAATCACTGCTGCAAAGCAGAAGGATCGCCTTGTGCGTCCGTATAAACCTTCTTACACGTTTTTATATTTTAGGGCTCTCTGGCAGGGCGGGAATTCTCAAAATTATCTGTGGAATATTCACCTCGCGAAGAGCCCTAAAAGAGCAGCTCAGTTGTGCCGCGCGCTCCGGAATCGAGGTTTGCCATCTAGCTGCTAGATTCTTGGGCGCCAGAAGCAGAGCTACAGTTTCTGGGCTCGCTTATTGCACCAAAGTGGAAGGGATCATGACGAGGAGATTTGAGACAGCCGCGGAGACGGGCGAGGATGAACCATACCAAATACATGAATCTGAATCTGGGCCCGGCATTTACGAGGTAGTGTGTGATTCTCGTCTTTTGCTTGATTTGATGAATCGTTCTCAATGTTTGTTTCTCTTCTTGTTTTCCTTGGCGATCTTGTTTAGATCGGTGGGACAGAAACCAGTGGAGAGGATTTTTACCACCAATGTCGGTGGTGATGTTCCACTGACGAACTTTGGAACAATAGGAAGCAGCTTGAAGGAGAGCATTGGAAAACTTATGCGGAGCACGCAGTGGCAATGAGTTTGCGTCTTCAAGCTCGGGCTTTCCAGAAAGCTCACGAAAAGGGTCAGTTTTCGTTCCATCTTTAGTCTTGCTCATCTTTTTCGTTTTTCCCTGAGAGATTGAGAGTTTTCTTTTCTCATTTCTACCATCGAACTTAACTTTCTCCTTTCAGAAAAATTCATCTTTTTTGTTTCGTTGCTGTAGGTTGCTTGGCTTTTTAATTTGAGAGGCTCCGATGCTGTATCGGCTTGTTGCAGGACCAATGTCTATCTCGCCGAGAGTCTACAGCGACTGGGGCATTGGGGGACGTCCAGGAAATAGGCTGGCTCCATCCAGAAGGCTTCGCTACCGCTTTGAGATGGCCGTGTGCGATCGAGGACAAAGAGGAGTGATCTCGATTGGATTCAGCGATCAAAACTTCAAGACGAGTCGTCAACCTGGGTGAGTTCACAGAGAAAGAAATATGCCTTCTCTCATTTTCTCGTTTCTATTGTACTTTTCCAGATGGAAGTCATGCTACGTCCAACGAGAAATGTGACCTTCACAGCGAATGATCCTGTTGGTGCCGGTATAAACTATCTTGCTCAAGAGCTTTTCCTTGGAACTTTTGCTTTGCTAATCCCTTCGTCATGATGCTTGCGTTGCTCCAGGAAATGGACTTTGGCTCCAAGAAAGTGGGAGCTCCGTGGATCGTCTGCGAGCAGCTGGTGCGGTTGTCTCGCGGTTCTTATCAAAGAGGACGTCTTTTGTCACTCGATCGCAGGGCTTTGAGACGGTGGCGCTAAGGACTTGGAACTGGCTGCTGTGTAATCGACTGGATGTCGTCTTTAGCTAGTAGCTGATCCAGATTTTTTTTCTCTTCGAGCTTGATGTACATGAAAGCAAAGAAGAGAACTGGCCACTCCAAATCAAAAAGCAAATTACAACGCAGTTTGTGGTGGCTAGCTTATTAACAATCTTGAGGCCTGGACGGTGCTCTTTGAGGGCTTTGCTCGCCACCCAAGGCGTGGATTTATCCGAGCCCATCGTCCTAGAATCGGCATTGCGAGCGAGGAATTGGTTATGAGGTAAGTGTAGAGGTGGAGTTTTCTCGCAATAAATACCACTATTTCTTGCTCGCAGACCAGACACGTTAGGCTCACAAATCAAGGTTTGAGCCTTCTCGTTTTAATAATTTTGGTAGCACGTTTCCTTCGACGCGGGCTCCTCACAGGAATCACAGCACACATTTCTTCTATCGGGGTTGAAATCCTGCTGGAGCTCCAAGGATTTAGAGAAGGGAAGGGTGCTCCACGATCGCGCCATCCAGAGCGGGGTTTGCTCCAATCTCTACGTTTCTTGCAGCTTGATCGGCATATGGGAGGTGTGGCAGCCTGGTTGAGGCGAGGAGGTTGTTTGACAGGATGTCTTGCCACAATGTAGTGGCCTGCATCTTGGGCCACATTCTCATAGATGGAAAGCAAAGGCTGCGCACCGGATACCGTTACTTTCTTCGCGGTGATCAAGGCTTGCTCGGCTCTAGCGGTCAGAGAAGAAGCGAGACTCATCGGTGTGCTGAAAGCTCTAGAACAAGGCACGAGAATCCACTCTCGAGCTGCGTAGCGAGCTCGCTGGTGGAAATGTACGCCAAGCTCCCGGCACAGTGTGATCTCGTAGATTGTTCTAGTGCTCGGGTACGTAGAAGACGGGAGAGTGAGCTCGAGTTTTTTGACAGCATAGAAGCTGGAGAGATCAAGCCGGATGCTCGATGCTTTGGCTCAGCAGTGAAAGCTTGCGCAGATTTTGCTGGGAGAGGAAAGTGGGGAGAACCTTTGGATGGAACGGCTATGAAAGTTGGCACAAAGATCGCTGGATGTTTTCGTTGGAAACGATATGTTTGTGAAAACAGATGCCCGAGGAGTTTTCGACAGGATGACTTGCCACAGTGTGGTATCATGGAACACGCTAGTGGTGGGAATGGAAAGCTTTGGGAGCGCTACTACAGCGGATGCCTTGACGTTTGTCGATGCTTTGAAGGCCTGCATTGGATTAGCAGTGAAAGAAGAAGCCACAAGCATCAAGGGAAGATGGTGAAAGCGGATCCTCTGGAGAAAGGGATGGCAATTCACATCCAAGCTGCGGAGAAAGGATACCCGAGGGACGAGTTTTTCGCGAACACTCTCGTAGACGTGTATGCCAAGTGTGGAAGCATGGTGGAGGCTAACAGAGTTTTTAGGAGCATGCCTTGCCATAGCCGGACGGTGCCCATGCTGGGATACGTGGAGATCTCGCAAGCAGATGTAGTTTTCGATTTGTTTTCTCAGATGGAAAACAGTGGCCCTTTTAGTTGCTGCGTCGAAGGCCTGTCACGGCTTGGCGGCCAAGGAAGGGGCCGTGGAAGTTAATGGAAAACTGGTCAAGCTTGGAGAGAACACTGGCAGTTCATGAAGATTCGAGACAATACTGTAAGACGGATGTGATCGTCGACTAAGGCTAGCACCTTAGTTGACGCTTACGCGCGAAGTGAGCCTGCTGAATGCTCGAGGAGTTTTCGACCAGATGTGCTCCCACGACGTCATGTCGTGGACTTCGCTGATTCTGGCCTGTGTTGATCATTGCGGAGAGGTTCCTGAGCTCACGTCTTCGAGCGGCACACAAGGCTTGCATACGCGTCGCTGCAATGGAAGAGTCCACTCAGGTGGATGGAAAGGCTGTCAAAGAGTCGTCACTGGAGAAAGGGATTGGGACTTCTTTCTGGCCAGTAGTTTGATGGAGATGTATGCAAGTGTGGGAGTTTGCAGGAGTTTTCGACGGGATGCCACACCGTGGATAGTCTCGTGGACATGTGGTACGCGGACTCTGGTGATGGAGACAAATTTCTGGAACTCTTTGCGGGAATGAAACTGAAACTCGGTCCGGCTTACTGTGCTCTAGATGCCCGGGTCTTCGTCCCCGTGCTCAAGGGAAGATCTTCTGAGGGATCGCTGGAAGTCACTAAAGCCATCGTTGGGGAAGTATACAGATATGGAGCGAGAAAGCCACTGTGCTCTCCAACAGCATGGTGGACGTGTTTGGAAAAGCCGGAAGTATGATCGACGCACAGCAGGCGTTTGACGCAGCTCAAACTCCAGATCTGGTAGCATGGAACGCTCTCGCAGCTGGATACAGCCGCCAGGGGTGACGCTGAGAAGGTCCTCGATGTGTTTCACCGGGCTTATGCTCTCCAAGTATGGAGTGAGTCCGAGGTGTGAGCACAAGGCGTGCGTGGTAGACATGCTCGGCCGGGCCAACCAGCTTAGCAACGCAGTGGCAATGGTGACTAGCATGGGGTCGGAAGCGACTCCTCCCAAGACATGAGAGAGTACGCTGCCTTGTCTCTGTCGTCAATCTTCACGAGTCTCCACATCTCTCCAGCGTCGGATTATGGGAGGAGCAGTCACGGATTCTGCGAAGTCAAGTGGAATTTAACTTAACTGTGTCAAGAAGAACACAAAAGAACTCCCATCAGCAGAGATCTTTATGGCTCCCAAACTTCACCTTCCACTCCTCCATCACCCTCCTCGCTACTTCCTTGTCTTGTGCGTACCCGGCCATCATCTGAAGGGTCCCTTCGCTCCCCTCGTCCCCCCTGTGAACCTGTGCATTGCACCTCGCCCGCCAGAACAATCGCCACATCCTTCCAATCTCGACCTGCTGGTAGTAATGAGGTAAGCCGACTAATGGATTGCTCTCATGCACTTCCTCTCCTCCTCGTCCTGGAGCTTCGTCGCCAACACTTGCTCCAGCTTCGCCACCATCCCTTCAACCGGAACTCAAAGTTGGCCCGAGATCCTCGTCGAGCCGCCGCTCCAGCTGGCACTTCTTGCCAGCACATTCGAAAGGGAGCTTCGTCAGCCTCAAAACCATGAAACAGGTTTTGCGTCTTTACACTGTTTTGATCCAGTTCACAGCTCATGCAGGATAAAAAACTAAAGACGTTGCTTCTTGGTTTTAAGATTTGCCAGGCCATCTCGCGGCACTCTGCCACTTGGGAGCACGCTCATCTCTGCCTATGCCTCAGCCTGTTCACTACAGCAGCGCTGGGGCAGACTTGGCAGCTCTTCGGCATGATGCAGCTGCAAGGGATCTAGGCAGACCTTCGTGTCTCTCCTGGCCGCTTGCAGGCAAGCTGTGCATTATGTCCATGCGGTGGCACTCAGTTGCGGGGGAGGGATTTTGCTGGAGTGGAGCACTACGTGTGTTTGATCGATGCATTGGCTCAGGCAGGCGAGCTTGTGCTGGCGCAGGAGCTTCTCGAGTGCATGCCTTTCGTGGCAGACGCTGCACCAGCTTGATCTGTGTTGAGGTAGTTTTTCTATTTCCACCCGGAGTTGTGTCGCTTGCCTTGGCCTACACTCCCTTGTTACAAATCTCTTTTTCTTGGGGAGATCTTGATGCAAGATCGCTTAAGCACTCCTTCCCTAAAGTCAAAAGAAATTTCTATAACATGAAGATTGGAAATCTTTGAGTTCTAGCCCAACACGCTAAACACCCCAAAAGCAGGGTTAGTGGTTGATGGTTTGGGAAATTCATAGCTGACTGTGTCCATGGCGCTTGTTATAGCGCTGCTCAATCGCTATGCACCTTCGGCCTGGGCAATCGCCTCATGTCGCTCGTCCCGGCCTTCCTGTACGCCATCATCTCGCAGCGGGACAATGATGGGGAGAAGCTCTTTTGCGAGCCATTGGTCATCTCCATGATCTCTTACGTCAAGCCCGTGCCTCGAGGTTGGTCCCCACGTTAGCTGTATAGAGTTGTCCGGGATGAGCGAGGAGCGGATCTCAGCAGTGATGTTGGTCATGGAGAACAGGCGGCTGAATGTGGAGAAGTTCGTGTCCGCATGTTGCTATATCTAGAGTTAATGCCTAGTGAGAACTACACGCCCCCGAATGGCTTTTTTATTCTGCTAGCTCGGGGGATCTCTCGATGGGGGAGAGATGGCCCGTTTTCATCCTTGTATTTTTCGTGAAGCTGTGAGCAGTGGAGTTGTCGGGATTGGAGGAGATGCTTTGCGATTTAAGGGGAGATTTGCTTGCTTGTCGCTGCCAGGAGATTGCAAACGTTCCTCTTGGCGAAGTTTCGTCAGGGAAGCGCATGGATGAAAATCCTGAAGGTGTTCCGGGAAGCTGCTCGAATGAATCCTCCAAGTTTGCTCTGGACACTGAATTTACGAGAAAACTTTAAACCAGAGATGTGAATTAGGAGAAAATTTGAGGTTTAGTCATTGTTGAAAATCATGTCAAACTTAAAGAGTTTACCAAGAAGAAACATATTTATATTTATTTGGAATAATTCCAATATAAAAAACTAAACTCTTTCTAAGGCTTTGGTGGTGGATTTGGGATTGTAAATCTAGAGAGGAAGAAACTAAGATTACTAGGCTTTGCTACAGCATAAGATCCATACCAGAAGTTTTTCAACATCATCCAAGTACCAGCTTCAGTGAAGTGATTGCTGTCAAAGTATAGGTAGTCCTTTGGATTGCTACATACAGATTGTTGGTACTTGTTCTTGTGATTTGGCTTCCAATCATGTTTATCAACATCAGCACAAAACTCTGCTGCGTTAAATGGACCACCACCACAACATGCTTTCTCTGCTTCTTTAAAACCTGAGATAAGATCATTGGATCATATCAGAAATCAGAAAAGAAAAAAAATAATTAGTTGAACTTACCATATTTATCAGGGTTGCTCAAGATAGTCAAGACAACAGTTGTTGGGTTCAACGTCACAATGTTCAAGTCGCGGTAGTCATTGTGAATTTTAATAGCAAGATTCTGAACTTGGGTATTATAATAGTTAATAATAGAGTTGATACCACCTACACAACCCTCTGGAGTTAAGTTTGTATTTCTACTTTGTGCTGAAAGGGATCTCAAATTTGGAGTGCATCCCAATGGTGGTGCCAAAAGAAGGACAATATATTTAATACCCAAATTATAAATTTCCTACAAATCCAGACATTATAAATATTTAATCACAGCATAACATAATATTTACCTGGATGGCATTAGAGTAGGTTTCTAACATCTCTTGAAAAAGAAGCGAGTTTCCAGGTGCATTATTAGCTATATCATTTGCTCCGATGCTGAACATAGCTATTGAGCTCTTCAAGAATTGAGTGGTAGAGTCTGCTCCTTTGACCCTTTTGTAGCCATCTATGACATTACGGAATTGATGCAGCTGTTGCTTCATGGAAACAACTCCCTAATACAAAAGAAGTATCAGCATCTTTTCTAGACCATAAGAAACTATATAAGGTTTTACCTGATGAGCATTTGTTTCATCCAACAAGCCTGCTCCAGCAGATGCAAAGTTGACGCCGCTGCTAAAGTTGGCTCCAGGTCGGAGGTACGGCGGAAGCAACGGAAGCCCAAGGGCCTGAGCAAGAAAATCCCCTATTGTGCGGCCATCTGTCCAGCGACCTGTTGGCTTGTCAAAGTATGATTTCCCATATGGTGGAACAGCACTCATAATCCTAGAGCCTGGAATGTAAGTGTTTTGCCCAGCATCTAGAGCTGAATCTCCAAAGATAAACAGTCCCTGGACACCACCAAGATCTTCACTGGGATTGGATCTAATAGCTTGTGATAGTGGAAGGCATGCAATGAGGAAGAACAAAATAAAGCTAATAACTTTCATCTTGACTTGTCTGTGTTAGTGTTACAAGAATAGGGTTTTTATAAGCTACAGATGACCAGGTATGGATATTTCCATATTGAAGAGGAACCAAATATGGTATTATTTGATTAGAGAATATTTGGTAGCCCTAACGTTAAAGGGCGGGAAATTTCAAATGGCAAAAAAACATCCGGAGAATATCCACCTCGCGAAAGCCCTAAAAAAGCAGGGCATTTCGAGCTATGGCGCTCTTGCACTTGTGCCGCGCGCTCCGGAATGGAGGTTTGCGATCTAGCTGCAGTAGATTCCTGGCCGCAAGCAGCAGAGGTACAGGTTTTGGAAAGGATCGGTTCGCGTATTGCACCAAAGTGGAAGAGGTGGAAGAGGATCATGGAGAGGAGATTCGGGACTGCGGGTTGCCCGCCGCGGACACGGACGAGGAAGAACCACATCCACAGGAGACCAAATACATGAAGAAGGCTGTTTTCGCGTCACCGGACAAGTACTATGGGCCCGGCATTTACAAGGTACAATTTTTGCTTGATCAATCGGGGTTGATCAAATGGTTCTCTCCTTTTTCTCCTTTCGTTTTCCTAGGCGATCTTGGTTGGATCAGTGGGACAGAAACCAGTGGAGAGAGTTTTTGCCACCAATGTCTCGGTGGTGATCTTCTCGCTGGGAACTGGCGGGCTTCGCAACAACAGGAAGCAGCTGGAAGGAGAGCATTGGGAAACTTATGCGGAGCGGAGCTTCACGCAGTGGCACCGAGTTTGCGTCTTCAAGCTCGGGCTTTTAGACATGGCCAGAAAGCTCACCAAAGGGTCACTCTTCCTTCCATCTTTGATCGTTGTTTTTCCCTGAGAGATCGCGAGTTTTTTTTTTTTTTTTTCTGTTCAAGTCTAATTCGATTTTGTTGCAGGAACAATGTCTACCTCGAGGGCAGCATCGAGACGAGAGTGTACAGCGACGCTGTGACGGGAGCATTGAAGCGAGTTCGAGAGATTTGCGTCCGGCAGTGTGGTGAGCTTCCACTTCTTTTTGTTTTTAAGCTTGAGCGGGAGTAAAACTTCGTCATTCCAGGACGTTTGTATGTTGTCGATTGAGTATGTTCCAAAACAACCACAACGTAAGCTCTCTTTCTTTCCTTCTCCAAAACTGGTGACATAAAAGAATGCTTTCCAGGCAAAGTTGATGGCTCAAGCTCTTCTTGGAAACAACGAGCTATCCAGGGAAGATCTGGCCTCCTTGTTGAGAAACTGTGCTCAATCCAAGGATCTCATCACCGGGCGGCAAGTTTACTCCAAGATCTTCGCAAGCGACGCTCACTCGAAGGACATCTACCTCTTGAACTTGACTGTTCTCATGTTTTCTAAGTGTTCCAGCGTCGAAGATGCCCGCATTGCTTTCCAGGCAATCCAGCATCCGAACACTTACTCGTGGAACATCATGCTGGGCGCTTATGCCCAAAATGGGCATCTCGATCAAGCAATGCCCATAAAGCATGCCAGAAAAAACTATCGTCTCTTGGAACTTGATGTTGCAAGCTTATGCTCAAGCTGGAAACTTTGAAGAGACCAAGAAACTGTTTGATCAAATTCCCATGAAGTCGATGGTTTCGTGGACTACCATGGTTGTCGCGTATGCCCAAGCTGGGCATCTGGAGGACGCAATCTATGCATTTGAGCATATGCCTTTTAGGAATCTAGTGTCATGCACGGCGGTTTTGCCAGGATATTCCGGGACAGGGAATCTGTCTAGAGCAAGAGAGATTTTTGGCCAAATGCCCGAATGGAATCTCGTGTGTTGCAATGCTATGCTTGGCGTATATGCCGAAAATGGGCAAATGTGTCAGGCGAGATCCACTTTTGAGGTAATGAAAGAAAAGACAGTGGAGTCTTGGAATATTCTTTTAAGGGCGTTTCTTCGAAATGGCTCCCTAGAAGAAGCCTCTGCTCTGTTTGAGGCAGCTCCAGAAAGAAATCTGGCATCTTGGAACACACTGATAGCAGAATATACCAGGCAAGGGCATTTGGAGAAAGCAAGACGTTTGTTCAGCGAGATGCCAGAGAGGAATCTCCAGTCGTTCACGATCATGATGCAAGCATATTCTGACAATGGAATGTTCGAAATGGCCATCGCCACATTCCAAGCGATGCCCGTCGTTGATGCAATCGCATGTACCGTTGCGATTGCAGCACATTCCCGAATGGGAAACCTGGATTTGGCAGACGAATTACGGCATGGAATGCCGGAGCAAAACATCCAAGCGTGGAATGCGATGATCTCTGCCTATGGCGAGAATAGCGAGCTCCAAAAGGCGGAAAATCTCTTTCACAGAATGCCCATCTGTGATCTCGTTACCTGCAATGCTATGATCCAGGCGTGTTCCCTAAACGGGCAAATCGATCGGGCAAGAGATCTCTTCCAGGCCATGAATCACAGAAGTATCGTGTCATTCACTACAATGATTCAAGCTTTGTCTCAGATCGGCCAAATTCGAGATGCGGAGGAGATATTTCTGAGAATGCCGGAGTGTGATCCAATCGCGTGGAGAGCAATGCTTCAAGGATTTGTCCAGAGCGGACACCAAGAACGAGCGATTGAAATGCTTGAATCAAGAAAACAAGAGGATCCATCTTCTTGTACGATCTTAATTGTAGAGTACGGCAGAAACTATCAGCTAGACGAGGCTAGAATTTTGTACGAAAAGATGCCAGCGAAAGATTTGGTGGCCACAAATGCTTTGCTCGCAGCATATTGCAGGAATGGTTATATAGATTTAGCAAAGCTTCTTTTCGGTAGAATGGAACAAAAAGACTTATTTTCCTGGAACACAATGATCCAAAACCATGACATAGATTTAGCAGTCTTAATGTTTGACAGCATGCCAGAGAGAAATCTTGTGTCATGGAATTCTATGCTTGCCGCATATGCCCATCAAGGGCATCTAAGGGAGTTACAAAGAGAAATTGATTCCCTGGTTTGTGATTTTTCTCTTGAGGGCGTCAAGCCTGACGAGGCAACTTTTCACTCTGGAATTGTGGGATGCAACCATGCCGGAATGGTTCGAGAGTGTTGCAAGTGTTTCAAATTGATGAATTTGGAGCATGGAATATCTCCTCAGAAGGAGCATTTCTGTGTCGTGGTTGACGTGTTATGCAAGTCTGGACAGCTGAATCATGCTCAGGATCTTCTCCAAAACATGCCATTTGTGCCAGATTCAGCCGTTAAGACTGCATTCTTGTGTGCAGCTGGTGTTCATCATGCAATTCGGACGAAGAATCTGGACGTTGACCACCATGATTCTGGATCATGGTTGGCTTTAGCAAATTCTTTCTAGCATTTTGATACAAAGACCTACTGGGCTCCAGATTCCAACCCATGAAGAAAACTCCAACAATAAAAGGGAACATGTTGGCTATTCTTTTTGTAAAAAGAAGTTGACCTTATGATTGTATAAATGTCAACCCTTTAGAACGCACTAAAAATTATTGCTCTTTGAGGAGAATTATTGAGTGGAATAAACCACATTTTCTTTCCTTTCTCATTTTTTCTTTCAAATTCGAGTGAGATGTGACACGGTTCCCACTGAACAGTAGCAGCATTGCCATTTGTAGCAACCACGCAGCAACGGCGGTGAAAGAAAAAGGAAGAAAAGAAAAGCATCTTTAAAAGCTAGAATGGATTTGTGACAATGGTCACTTGTACTGACAAACATCAATAAAATTCAGGCTATTTGTCAATGTCTCCGCAAGAAGTCAAACGTGTCATATATTTTCGGGGGTGGAATGTTGACTATTTCGTCATACAAAAGAATTGGAATTGAAAGATTGCGATTAAGATTGTTAGTCGCCACCTGCAAGATACCCTGTCGGGTGTTGGCGACGTACCAATCCAACGGCCCAGGAGAGCTTAGCGGTTGAGATCAGACGATCAGTTTTTATTAGTAAAAGTTGCAAAATTCTTTTTGCCTCTACAGCTTTTCGTGTTCGTGGGATCAGATGAAGAGATCCAATCCCAGCCGTTGGTCCGCCTCATTGACGGACTTTGAAATGGTCAATGGCGTTCAAAACTTTGCTCTTGTGTGTTCCCGCATAGAGCCGATACTCGGCCCAGCTGAATGGCTTGTAGACGGCGGGAGTTTTGGCGCTGGTCAGCTCCTTGATCGGAGCAACAATGGTGTCATCGGTGGGATTGTAGAAAAATGCCAGAGACATGCGGGCCCTGGAGCTGTTGACCAGCGCGCGATGCTCGACGCTCTTGTAGATGTTGTTGCTCCACACCTGGTGCAAGAAAAACCAAAGTGAGAATGATGGCCAGGAATCAGCAAAGTGGGCAGTACCTGGAGGCAGTCGCCAATGTTGACGATGAAGGAATTGGGCTTGGGCTGGACGCCAATCCACTTGCCATTGCGGCAGACTTGGAGACCGCCCACCGCGTCCTGGTGGAGGATGGTGAGAGTGCCCGAGTCGGTGTGTGGAGGGAGGCCGAATGTGACGTCGGGCTTTGGGCATGGCGGATAGAAGTTGATCCGGGCGGACGAGGAGCCCTCTACAGAGTAGTGCCGTGTGAGCTTGTTGCGATCCACGCCCAGCCCCTGGAGGAGGAGCTCCAGGAGCTGGAGCCCAAGCTTGTTCATGGCGGTGGTGTAATCGGATAGAGCCATGCTGCAATGAAAAGCAAGCACGGGAGTCAGAGAGATTCGTTTGCTTTAGAGAGGATCCAATCAAGGAAGGGAGAGTCGGGAAAGATTCCGGAATATATTCTCGTCTATGGAACAGAAGAAAGCGGGCGAGGAGAAGGAGAGACCGACACGCATGGAGAGGAGATTCTCGAGGGAGAGAAGAAGGATTTACCAAAACTCCTTGCGATCCGACGCCTCCTTGGCGGAAGGCCAGACCTTGTTGGCGAGATTATCGATCCGGGCGTGATTGCACAGCATGTAGAGCGTCTCGTGCCAGGAGCGCATGATGGCGCGGCTGGGGCCGGCGGCCGCGTAGCCGAAAGGGTTGGAGGAGCTCCCGGCGGCCCTCATCTTCTGATCCAGCTGGAGCGCGAAGAACTTGTGCGCCTGGCGCTCGGCCCGGCTCATCATATCCGGCGGGAGGCCGTGGTTGACAATGCGGAAGAATCCCCACTCCTTGGCCGCCTTGGAGATCTTGGCGGCCACGGCGGCGCGGACGCCCTCGTTCTTGGCCAGCATTGCGGCCGAGATGTCGATCTCCGGGACGTCGTTGCTGAATTGGCCGCCGCTGCTCGTCTCGGGGCGGAGTCCCTCGGGCCACACGAAGGCATTGAGATCGAGCTTCTGCGTGACGGAGTCCTGGAGGTAGGCCGCGAAGAACTCGGCCGCTGGCGTGCTGCTAGGCATGGTGGAGCGCGTCGTAATCGGCATTTTGATGGAGAGAAGAGAGAAGAATCGGGGCACCGCTGGCGCAAGGAGGAGGAAAGATCGCGAGATTCGATCGATCGAGCAGCCGATGGAGAGAATCGATCCAGATATCGTGCCAGGAGTAAGAATCTCCGGCGTCGCCGCCTCGATCGAGCGACCGATCGGTGTGGATGCACGGATCGAGAGAAGCGCGTGCTTTGCTCGATCCCTAGCTCACGATCGACCAAGAATGCAGCTAACGAGAGAGATTGATAGACGGATGGTGATTGAGAATGAGACGAGGCGCCGCTTATAAAGAAGAAGTCTCCACTCTGTTCTTCTGCTACCAAGCGGTTGTACCGCTGGCCCTTATCCGGTTCCAGGGGCCAGGAGCGTACGGACGGGTGAGTTTGGTTTGCCCGTGCGCAGTAAATGTAAAACTCTCCAAAGTGAAAAGCGGAGGCGTGCACGGCAGATGCCGGTCCGGCGCGCCAGCCGCGGACACGTGTCCATGTGCCATGCCACGTCACCATGCCTCCCATTGCGAGTGCTGGCAGCGGCATCTTTGTGTGCTTTGTTTGCTTCCCCGGCCAAGCGCCGCCGTACAGTTGTCTAGATGCCGCGTTCGTACGCCGTACACATGTGTGTCCATCCAGGCTCTGGAAGGATCTCCGTACGCAGTGTCAACAAATTCGTTATTAGTTATATGGTTCTTGTCTTGTGGATCGCGTAATATTTTTTTGGTAACAAGTTTGGGCGCGCCTCCCAATGAATATAGGCGGCGCTTGTGATTGGCTTCTTCTTTGGCTTGATTTTGGGATCTCTAAGATCCCCTAAAGCCACAAGCTCGCAATCTCTTAAAAAACTACCTCGCTTTGCTTCCTTGCCTCTTGTGTCGCGGTCATGAGATACACAGGCTTAAATAAAATGCAAAATAGATGGAGGAATAAGCAAGCGTGGGTTGCAATAATTTAGTTGCATGCAAAGGAGAATCATGTGCAAAGCTCGGAAGAACATAGAAACCTTTTGCGAAGAGAACTTTCAATGTTTTGACCATTTCATTGGCGAGCTAACGGTGGCAGCAGCATTTTTATCTGAATTATTATTGTTGCTGCTGGTAGTGGCGGTGGTGGTGGTGGTGGTGGTGGTGTAGCACGTACATGATATAGCAAAGCACTCACCTTTCTAAAATTTTTGACATGTTTTAAATCTTCTTTTGACTTTTTTACAATGTTAATATTCATATAAAAATGTCAAAGGAGATTTCTTTGTTTACTTTTTTACACCCGTGACCACCACAAAGGGCCTGAAGCAACTTTTGGGATCTCCACAGGACAGCATGGGCGTACGCAGAAGTCTTATCTGGATGCAGAAGAAGTCCTCTCCCTATTTTGCACAGGCACTTCATTTCCCTTTTTCTTTTTTTCTTTTTTTACCTCTCCAAGCACACCTGACTCGAGTAGAAAAGTATTGAAAGAGTCGGGTAGAAAAGCAAGGGAAATTCCTTTGTTTGACAGATGTTGCGACATTATTGTTGTGAATATACCGGCCACATTGAACAGATTCATCATCCCCTCTATGGTTTGGTTGCTTTTGTCGGTGTTTCAGTGATCTTCTTCGAGGTCCAAAGAGCTATCCACAGAAAAAAGCGTGTTAAATTTTTTCTACACATGGCCTCAAGGGTGATGTGTATTGTTTCGGTCCAGCCACACCTGCAGGTCCACAAAATAGATAGAAAAACTATCCAAAATAAAAACCAAATATGCCAAATTGGATTTATCGCCTCCTTTTTTCCTCGAAAGTGAGGTGGATAAGGATTACAACGAGAGAGAATCAAAAGAGCGAAGCAAAAACCTCGACCGACCGACTGTCAGCCATCTCCAGAGTGGAAAAGAAGATCCCTTGGCATGGAAAAAAGTACCACGCACAGTCCGGAAGAGCTCCGTGTTGTTTTGGTTTTTCTCTTGTGTGCCAGCTTGCGATGATATCACTCGCCGTAGCAAAATACAGCCTTTCTCCGCGTACATGCTCAATTATCAGGCGAATTCGGCCACGAGTGAAACTTGCGTATCTGGATACAGCGACAAAGGTGAAGCTTCGTGCCATCAAATTATTGTCTTGTTGCGGTGGACTTCGGGGGAGAATCTGGCTTCTTCCTGAACACCCCAGACTCACTTGCGAGATTCCATCCCATATTCTATGACCTCAAAGTTAGACAACTTTTAAGTTTTCTAATCCATCTTTGTTAATGGTTCCATGGACTTACACGAAAACAAAAAACCTTTAAACATTCGTGGCAGCTTTTGCAAATCGTTGCGCATGAGAATAAAAAACATCGTTCCAAATCCCTGTTAAAAATGTGCAGTGTTGTTTAATAGACTTTGATGAGGAATTCTTACAACAAACCTGGACCTTGTTGCTGCTGCGCTGCTGCTGTGCACACTCTGGGGAGAGAATATGTCCTCTTGCGTTCGAGTCACGCTACGCGTCGGAGCAAGATGCAAGAAACGAGATGCCCCCTGACATGATGCATGTATATATGTCTATATATCTATATGCGCACACTCATATACACGCACGCACACACTCACACTGTTCGGAGTTATCCACGATCACAGCTTTTCAGTATCGCTATCCATTGCCTGCGCAATTATCAGAGGAGTTTTGACGAGTGGCATCGCAGAGCTTACCGTATCTTTGACAAGTTGCTCGAATTCAGCGTCGAGGCTTCCATCATCCCCGTCTGCGACAGAATGTAAGTGCTAAGTGGGCGATTTGATCATACCAAAAAAAAAAGGGGGCTCTTTTACTTTTGTACCTGAATGTTCGTCGTCGTCGCCGTCAAGGGCACCCAGCAAATAATTGTCGAGATCTTCATCATCCACAATGGATTTTCCTGGCGTCTCAAGCTCTTTTGGTGCAGTGGCCGGAGGTGCCAAGGCCAGCGTGTCTGGTGTGTGATGCCCATCGCTTTGAGATTCCACACGAGGAGGATCCTGAGCAGGAGCATTGTACCTGCAAAGAAAAACACAGTGGGTTTCAAAGGAATGAGTGAGCACTACCTCGTCCAAAAGGCAACAGTGACAGATAGAGGCAATGAGAATATCTCTTACTTTGCAAGGTGTCCATCTACGAGCGCGAAATAGATCCTCCAGAAGCGCTTGTCCTTGATGTGCTTCGGACAGAGCTTGTAGCGAAATTCGGAGATCTCCTGAAGAAAAGAAAAGAAATGAGTGGGAATCAATCAATCAACACTTCCCACTACTAAAGCGTAAAGAATTACCGGCACAGCAGAGAGAACGAGCAATGCATGGTGTTCCTTCCATGGCGAAAGAACGTCGAAACCTTCATCGTTGCTGCCACTGTGTCCATCGACTGGAAACGATGAAAAAAAACTAGACCTTTGTTAATCGGGATTGAGCAAGCAATGCTAAAGCCCGACTTACTTTCTTGGTCTTCCATGGGAAAATCCCGGAATGTATCGATCGTCAATCCCTGGACGAAATCCCTGAGCTCCGGAGTAATGCCATAGCGCTGGTATTCCTCCTCATCGATTCTAGTAGCAGAAGCGTCGGGCGGCGATGCAGCAGCCACAGAAGCCCTCACCTTGTCGAGCGCGAGATCCTTGATCTGATCGGCTCTCTTGGAGGCCTCCATCGCCAATTCCCGCGCCTGCTCCCTCGATTTCTCTAGCGCGATCTCCATGGCGTGCCTCGCGCGCTGCAACATTGCCTCCATCGCAAGAACCCTAAGTTTTTCCAAGAACCCTAATTTTTTCCTTTTTTTCACTGGGAAATGCGCGAGCTGGAGAAGGCCCAGCGCCTGGCTCTCCGGATTCGCAGCGCGATCGTCCTCCATCACCGATGGACGATGCCGGTAGAGCATTGCTACGCGTTGGGCAGCGATTTGGGGATGGATCCAGAGGCAGTGCACAGGTTTCTCCTCCAAAACCCTGGCGCCTTCCCGATGGTCAGCTGCGATGTCAAATTCTCAAGCACCGCCAGGGATCTCGTCTCGCAGGAGCGGCAGATCCCCAAGGAGCCCTACGCGGCCTTTGTGATCCGGAAGCTCTTGATGCTGTCCCAGAAAGAAATGCTGCCCACCGCCAAGCTCCTGCGATGCGAGTGCTTCGATTTCCCGGAGCTCACGCGCGTCTTCTCCCACAATCCCAGCTTCTTCCACTGGGACAGGGCGCGATTGCTTTGGGGGAGGCTGCGGCTCGTAAGCTGGGATCCGGAGCTCGCCATCACGGCGCGCGAGAAGACCCTAGCGATGCTCCGCAAGGTTCCAGAGGAGGAAATGTTTGGAGCTGGAAGTGGAATAATCCCACTGGAGAACGATGGCGGCATGGAGACGATCCAATCGCCACAGGAGCTGGCGAGATTATACCGGCAGCCGATGATCTCGCCCTACGATCGATCGCGCTTCTCGGTCGTGAACAAGGAGCTGGAGCGGCACCGCAAGATGAGCGTGATCCACGAGTTCCTCAGCCTCACCAGATCCAAGAGCGCGGCGGTGTCGGATCTTCACGACTTCCACCAGGAGCTGGGGCTTGACGAGCAGTGCCAGGATCTCGAGAGCTTGCTGCGATCCGACAAGAGATTCTTCACCATGAAGATGAGCCTGGGAAGGATGGTGGTGTTCTTGAACGAGCGCTACGATCTGGATCACACCCCAGCGCTCAGCCCCTATTTCCAAGCCAAGCGACGCTTCCTGGATCTCATCACGATCGAGGAGAGCAGCGCCACTGCGATGAAGGCCATCTAGATCTTGGAAGAGCTCTCGTTGAGAGGGAGGATCATACAAAGAATGGCGAGAGTTCTAGCAAGATTTTCTCGAGATTTCTCTACCTGGGATGCCTGGCGAGAGGGATGAGCTCCGAGAGTGGCGTGGAGATTGGCGTCGCCTGGGGCGTCGGGAGTGGCGATGTTCTACACATCGGGCACGTTGCCTGGAGGCGCATCCACGAATCGATGCACTGGACGTGGAAGACATGGCGGCAGTCGGGAAGAACGCGCAGCATCTCCGCCTCGCGATAATCCGCCAGGCAGATCGCGCAAGCGGTGTCTTGCGGATGCGGCAGTGGCTGCTGCGCCGAGAAGACGATCCGGGGGTAGGATTCCAGCGTTACCTGGTCCAAGCCACTGATCGTCCACTCTCCATCGCTGCGATCTCTGCTGCTGGATTGCTGCTGCTGCTGCCGCTGTGCCGCCGCCGCCGCCGCTGCCGCCGCGCGATTGAGCTGCGCCCTGCCGTGAACCCTGACGCAAACGTAGGAGGCGAGCATGATCGTGGAGACGAGCACGAGAATCCCGACTGCGATTGCGATGCCATAGCCGAGGCCGACCCTGCTCATGCTCGGATTCGTGAAATCTGCCGAGGTGCCATTGTTTACCATGCCGGAGTCTTGGATCTTGGCTGGATCGAGGCGATCTTCTCGATCGATACCTGGAGATTTCGAGCCGCCGGTGCGCTACCTAGCCATTGCCGGGATGAATGTAGGCGGAGATCCACAAAAGAATGGCGCCGCGGTAGCGCTGACTGCTAGACGCCTCCATGGCATCGAGTCCGTGGCCACCATAGCCGGGAAGAACAACTAGAGGCACTTGGCCGGGGCAGGGGAGCCGTCGATGGGGAGATCCGACGGCGGGGATTCGCGTTGGCGGGTCCCGTGACCTCGTAAAATGGAGGCGACCATTAAATGCCCCAGGATATTCAAAAATTGGAAGGCGACGGACGGTGGCGATGCTCCTCACGTCAGTGGCATATTCCCCACCGCAACTTACATCCAGTGATTAGACGACAAAAGCACAGCTTTAGCCAATCAGCGAGTAGCACATTGTAGAAATCTCGCCTTGCTTCGTCAACTCCACAATGCCTTTAAAAAGGCGAAAGGAATGAGCCAGTTTTTGGATAGCATTATAGCTCACCTCAACAATTGCTATAATCTCAAATGATGCAGGAAATTCATTCTTGAGCACGATTGTGTCGATTTTTTTATCATGCTGCTCGATCAATCGTATCTACACACTCTCAATCAAGCTTGATACCAAGCGGGAAATCAAGCTTGGTCTGGTTTCACTCTGTCCTGATCTCAACTTGGTCTCCTTTTTTCCAAGCCGATGAGCGCTGCGCGCTTTCTAGGGTTTTACATCGGCTTCTAGGGTTTAAGACGTGGTGGTTACACTGCATGCATGAAAATGGTGGCATCTTTTTTTATAGTTGAAAATTACTCAACAACAGGCTTTTGCCCCGTGATGAGCTCCAGCAACACCACTCCAAAGCTGCAGACGTCGCTCTTGTCAGTAAGCTCATAGTTTTGCGCGTTACCTCCAGGTGATTGCGTGATCACTGTCCTGCGGCATTATTGAGTATGTTCTGCTTGATTGATCTTTGATTTCCTCGGGCCCTCTTGGCGTCGCGGGGAGAGTTACTGCTCGTTTACTGCATTTTGGCGTAACAAAGTGGAAATCCAGCGCAAGACATTTCATTGGCAGTTTTTTATTGAGCCATGCGAAGCACAAGCACGCAACCAATTTAGAGGTACTGTTTTTTTTTTCTTTGCTTGCTTTTCTCTTCCTTGAGCTGTTTGTTGTCGTTGCTTGCTCGTGGATTTGGTCGTTGTAGTGCTACAGCAGGTTCTCTCTTGCTTTTCTGATTCTAGTTCATTGATGTCGATCATTCTTCTTGTTGAAATGCTTTTCCATAGTCATCTGTGCTGGAAGTCATGTGTGCTTTCTTTTCTCGCAAAGCGAAAGCTGATTACCTCTCCACGGTACCGACCATCCCTCACCCTCCCCAGCTTCTCGTCGATACAGGTTAAGATCTTGTCAAAGCACCCGAAATTAAGATAGGCCTCATGGTAGATTAGTTCACCACCTCCCGCCACAGCAAACTTCCTTGTCTCAAACCAAGGACTCATGCAGTACACCACCCACGCAAGGACGTGAGACCTTGACTTGTCATCTGACATGAACAATTCCCGTGCTCTCGACCTGATATGCTCGTGATCCTCAATCGCCCAAGCCCCTGTTGCAAACTGGATGACTACGAAGTGCGAATCTGCAACGTAGTAACAACCGAGTCCTTTCTCAGTCCCATGAATAGGAATGAAAATTGTCAGAACGGAGATCTCTTTGGTCATCGCCATTGTAAAGCTCCCACGAAAATTGCAGGCTGCTGTCGGAGTTATAGTCACAGACCCTTCTTGGTCATACTTTATGACGGGTTGTTTGTACCGCGCCACAAGAATGCATGCCTGCTGTGTGTTCAGACCAATTCGTGAGAAAATACCGCGATGATCGCTTTGGATAACTGATGTCCAGAGCCGAATCTGCTCATCGATCTGGTCCACTGGACATGCCACGAGCATGAACTGGTTTGCTGCGTAGGAGCGAAGCTGCTCTGAGGGACATCTCGCAATCCTAACTCCCCGGCGGCTTGCTCTGCAAAAATGTCGTCATCTTCGTCATCCTCAACAACTCCTTTCGAAAGGAGCTTGAGAAACGAGGCCAATCTTCCGAAGGCAGATTCTGGATGTACTCTTTAAGAGCCTTACGGTACTTTCGATCGCTCCTAACCCCGGAACCCAGCCAGTCTTCCACCAAATACTTTCTTTCGTAGTATTAGCGTCGGCCTTCACGAACGCCAAGTAGTTTGTTATTTCAACCTCCTGAATCAAACAGAGAGTTTAGTAAATGCAACTTAACATGTGAAGCGAGCTTACGTTGAATGCGCCGTTGATGAAAGTGCGCGATCTTCCTCCTTCAGAAACTCTTGCCACTTCCCACACAAGACTACAGCACCAAAACTAGCAATACTCCAGAGTAAAACCGCGTGCTCAGCAGAGATCATCGTCCAGCACCAGATAAAGCCTTCTGTTGTTATCACCCTGGACTATCTTTTGCATGATCTTGATCACCTGATGGACACCTTTGTCATCCCTGAGGTTCTGAACGTAGTATTGAGCGGCATTGCTGTCGTGATAACCCAAGGCAAGCAAGCAGATGAGTGTCAAAGCTGGATACTTTGAAAAATCTTCCCCGTTGACGTGCATCAGCCTTCCGTGTGCCAGGGAAAAAACCTCCAGAAAGAGGAACAGAGACGCAGCACGGATGCTGTAAGTCTTTCCTGATCCAAGCATGACGTTAAAGTTCGAGCACCTGAGCTGATGCACTGCCAGCCCATCACTGGGACTGTGTCTGCACTCTCCATGAACGTGATGATGCATCGTCACAAACCACTTGCTGTAGCAGTTTCTCAGCTTGGCGGTAAATGAGGCACTCTTGATTCGTAAGAGACTCATTAACATTCACGTATGCAAGACCTGCGAAAGAAAGAAGAAAACACAAGGATAATTTGATGGGATAATTCAAACCTGTAGGAAAGGCTGCATCCAAGCATACCCTGCCGCCACCCTGAAAGAAAACGCAGTGATGATGAGAGTTGGCCAAGAAAAAGAAAAGCTTGCATAAGAAAGAGATAAGGAGATTACCTAAGAGCCTACCCACAAGTTTTTTAAAGTTAGCTGCCATGCTATAAAGGTTGTGGATACATTTTTGTGGTCTTCAGTTTTTATTAGTGGCTATATGTCTTTCTCATGACAGAAGATGGTGATTTAGCCATTAATTAAGTGTAATTTTTTTTGCACAATTCCTATGCAGGAGAAGTTTTTCTCCAGCTCAACCACCCATTTTTTAATATTCACATTTTTTGTTATAGAGAGATTGATTTTTCTTAAAGATCAACATAAAGCTACAATAGCAAGTTAACCTCCTTGAAGCAAAAAATTGAATTTTTAAATAAAAATTGACCTCCATGAAGTATTATTGGTATTTAATTGAATATTTTCAAGCATTTGCCCTTGCCATTTTATTCTTTCCTCATCAATCTGATGGCTCAATTGCACTTGTATGCCTCTTTGAGCTACAATTACCTTTTAAAATAAAAACTATAAGAAAAATTATTTTGAAAAAATTAT